GCTCTAAATGGTATAACTGCAGGTAAATTTAAGTGTATAAGATAGACAATGATATTACTGAGTTTTGTTGGATCACTGAACAGAACTGTTTGCAGTCTCACTGTTTGAATGTCCACTTTATATGCTTTAATCTTGTAACTTGAACAAATATTTCTAAGATGACAATATGTAATCCATTAACTAGTGATTTCCTACTATTTATTTTTTTCTGAAATTCTGTATAACTTGTACCCTTTTTCTGCTTTCTTTCTCCTTAAATAAAAAAAAAGAATTAAAACTATCATACCACAGTGATACATGTGCACTCATGTTTATAGCAGCACAGTTTGTAATAGGTAGATCTTGAAAATAACCTAAGTGTCCATTGCCTGGGGGGATGGATAAAAAAGATGTGGTATTTCTATACAATGGAGAACTACTCAGCCATAAAGGATAAACTGGAGAATTTTATAGGTAAATGCTTGCAACTTGAGACTGTACTCATTAGTGAAATAAATATGTAAACATTATATTGTTTCATTGGTGTGAGAAGCTGAAAGAAAAACACGCTCATGTGTATGTGTGTATATGTAAAAAATAGTGAAGATAGTTATACTACTGATTTCTCTCAGTTCACTGAAGAGAAAGATTTGTGCTGGTATTGTTTGGACAACTGAGTGCAGATGTCTTGTCTGGGTGAATGATTTGGGGATGACAATGTGCAATGTATGTAGCATTGTTGCCCTGATTGACATGTTTTCAAATTTTGTTGTAGTTTTTTTCTTCTTTTTATCCTTGAAATAAAATGGATTTGGAAAAGTGCCCTTAAGTGACTGCTGGGTGAGGTGCAGGGGGTCCCTGCGGGTGACAGGACATATGCTGAATCCGATAGATCTTCCAAATGTACCTGGTAAGACTGCATCCTCCCGGGGCTGGGGATTTAGCTCAGCGGCATAAGCACCTGCCTTGTAAAGCAGGCAGTCGTGAGTTCGATCCCCAGTACTGATAAAAAGGAAAAAGACAAAAAAAAAAAAAAAAAAAAAGACTGCATCCTCCCGCAAGCCTCCAACAGCCTCCAAGTCCTGTGTGCCTTGAGTCCTGCAGACAAAGTGCTCCACATAAATACCTAGGGCTACACCAAAGGAAGCAGAACAATATGGTGCTCTTCACCTGTGAACCTGAAAACAATTTGCTTCTGAGCCTGGCAAGGGCGTGCACATGTGTAATCCCAGCACTCAGGAAGCTGAGGCATGAGAATCAAGGTCAGCCTGGACGGCAGAGTTAATTCAAGACCAGTAGGAGCTACATAGCAAGACCCTGTTCCAAAACAAAAACACCACATAATAATGAAGTTAGCTTTGGCACATCTTACTTAGTTCAGGTGAAGGCACTGCTACTACCTCCACCCTTGGAGTGCAAAGGGAACACTTGGAAAGAAAAATCCTGCAGTTTAAGCTTCAAGTTCTCTCAGAGACCAAACTCAGGAGTGTTCAAGGGCCAAGAGAAAGGAATTTAGGAAGTAATTAACAAAGACACACAAAGGATGTTAAAGCATGTAATCCCAGCACTGCAGAGGCAGAGGCAGGACGCCACCGTGAGTTTGAGGCCAGCCTGCACTACATAGCAAGACCTTGTCTCAAAATAAAATAAATATAAAATTTTTTAAAAGTTGCTTAAGATGCTTAGCAAGAGATTTCTGGACCTAGCCAGCATGCTTCAGAAGAACCATGACCAACGAAGAAAGGGACTGGGACCTCCTCTATGCACCTGTATGGAAGAAACAAAAAATATGAGAAGAGGAAGCAACAAGAAAAAGTCCCCAGCCCCCAACCCTGAGAACACTGGTCCAGGAAAGGTAAATACAAAGGAGATTGAACACAGCAAACATGCTCTCACAGCATGCTCAGACACGGCATCAGTGGACATAAAGAGATATATTCGGTGGGGCTGGGGGTTTAGCTCAGCGGCATAAGCACCTGCCTTGCAAGCAGGCAGTCGTGAGTTCGATCCCTGGTACCGATAAAAACGAAAAAGACCAAAAAAAAAATCAAAAAAAAAAAAAAGAGATATATTCGGGACCTCATAGACAAGCTCAAACTGAAGCACGATATAAGTAAAGTAGGACATAAGTAGATTAATAAAAGAAATGCTAAGTACCTCTCAAGAAGACACAGACAGAAGAATTGAGAGCACAAAAAAAGGAGAGAAACATTTGATGAAGAATATAAAGAAAACATAGAATACACGAAGCAGGTTCAAAGAGATTACCAGGAAATAAAAAACTCCATTGAAAGCTGGCAGAACTGCTTGAAAGAAACTAAGGACAGATTATCCAAACTGGAGGACAGGTTTGCAATGTGGGATCATGAAAGGAAAAATTTCTTAAAAATAACAAGGAAACAGGCAGTAGCAATACAAAGGCTAAAAGATGACAAGAGGATCTATAACTTGAGACTAAAGAATGTAAATGAAGAAGCAGGAGTACAAACAAAGGAACTACAAAGCCTATTCACAGAAATAATTAAGGAAAACTTCCCAAGCATAGGAAATGGAAATGATATCCAGATGTATGAGGTATATAGAACTCCAGCCACCTACAACCAAAACACCCAGGCATAATCAAGATCCCAGAAATTCAATGTAAGAGCAGAATATGAAAAGCTGTCAGAGATAAGAAACAGATTACCTATAAAGGAAAACCCATCAAAATCATGGCAAACTTCTTGACATAGACCATCAAATCAAGAAGAACTTGGAGTGAAGCCCTGAAAGAAAATAACCTCCAGCCCAGATTAATGTACCCTGAAAAACTGCCTCTACAAATTAATGGAGAAACAAGATGCTTCCAAGACAAAGAGCAATTCTTGGCCACCAATCCAACTCTGTAGAGAAAACTGCAGAACATTCTAGAGAGAGAAAAAAATACCAGGATTCCACAAACAGTGGCAGAGAGGCTTCAATGAATGGAGCAGAAAGCAGAATGAAGAAGAAAAGCGGATAACTAATGTCAGAAAAAGAGCACAACAGAAATGAGGCAGAGAAGGTAGGCTATGCCTTGCAAGCAGGCAGTCGTGAGTTTGATCCCCGTTACCGATAAAAAGGAAGAAGACCAAAAAAAAAAAAGGAGAGAGAGAGAGAGAAGGTAGGCTATAATCTCTAATATAGATGGCCTTGATACACTTTAAAGAAAAAGAGAGAGAAACACAGGCAGAGTAGATCAGGAGGTAGGGTCCATCGAGATGCTCTTTATCAGAAAAATAATTAACCTAAAAAAGGGTATATGGACTAAAAATCAAATATGAGAAAATAATGCTGTACGTGACAGGGAACCAGAGAGAAATAGGGGCAACTAGACCAGTATTTGTGGATAGGTTGGAAAGACAAGCTTTCATAGGTAAAGGAATACAATTAGAGATCAAGTCCAGGAGAGAGAACTGCTTAGGTAAATAGCAGGTTGCCCCCCCCCCCAGTCTAAAAACGAGAGAGTTGGTGAGACCCAAAAATGCACAGTGCACCCTGGGGGAGCAAAAGGGGAGGGAGAGTCTTAAAAAAGATGGCAGAAGAGATCGTTAATCATGTATCAGGATTTGAAACCCATATTACTCACACCAATCTGCTTAAATAGATTTTATTCTGTCCCAGTTTGTGTACTTGCACTAAATCTGAGGGCACAGACAGCTATCCCACAAAATCAGGATATAGTACAGTAATCATCTTTAATTTCCTATTACCTTAATCTGGAACTTATACTGTTTTATCATGACTGATCTTAGTTAAATCTGGTTTGTTTGGTTGCTGTTTGGTATTGACAGATTTTATTCAAAACTGTTATGATTATAGTATCAAGTCTGAGAGTATAGGCAACTACCCTGAAGATGACAAGATTCACTACGATACCCATTCTGGTTTGATTACTACCTCTTTTTGAAGTTTTACACTATCTACAAAGTTGTGTTTTTATTGTTATGTACTACTATATTCAATTATACTATGATGATATAGCCAAATCTATTGAAGATAACAAGAGACTACACAGTAACAACCATGGTAGAACTCTTTGTACAGCGGTTTTATATGTCTTTTTCGTTCCATGTGTTTATAGGAATATGTTTTGTTTTGTCTTGCTTTATTTTGTTTCTCCTAATATAGAAAGGATAGAAATACATGTTAAGACTCATGCATGCACAGAACCTATGAACAGTTTAGGAGAACTGCTCTTATAACACATGATGAAATGAACAAATATGGATAACTGCATGTATATTTAAGTCTGTAGGATTGATAACCATATTACTAAGTTTTTGATTGATAGTTGAACAGAACTGGTTGCAGTCTCGCTGTTTGAATCCCCACTTTATGTTTCACTTTTGTACCTTGAACAACTATTTGTAAGAGGAAAATAGGTAATCATCAACTAGTGATTTCCTACTGTTTATTTTTTTCTCTGAAAGCATGTATTATTTCTACTCGTTTTCTGTTTTGTGTAGTCTTTCTTTAAATAAAATTTAAAAAATAAATTAAAAAAAAGATTTCTGGTCACATACGAGTTATTAATGTCACTTAATAAGGCCATAAACGTGACAAACACCCAGACTTGTTCTGCCCCGCGCGGGATAAAGAGGACGGAGGAGAAGCCAAGTGTGGTGGTGGAGGCGGAGGCAGGAGGGTCTCAAGCCCATACAATTCAGGGCAATTTAGGGACTCCGTGAGACCCTGCTCCAAACTGAAAATCAAGGGCTGAGGACACCGCGCAGTGAAACGCCCCCGGGTTCAGGCTCCACAAGAAAAACGCAAAAAAGAAAAACGGGCGGAGGAGTGGGTATTGGAAGCGCCTAGGCATGGAGCGAAGGCAGAAGTCCCGAATTGAGACTAGAAAGCACGCAGCGACCTCGCCCGCTCGGGGACCCCAACCGCGCCTGGCACGCTCCGCCCCCGTGCAAAAAGCCAAACCCGTAACCTCTACCCGGCCGTCTCTCATTGGTCGTGGGTATGAGCGACGTCCATGGTGACCAATGAGCCGCGGCCACGCGCGGCCAGCGCTTCCGGCCCGCCCACCCCGGCGCAGCCCCGCCCATCGGCGTGCGGCGCGGCCGAGGCGGGACTGGCTAGCGGACGGCGGCTCGGCATGGCGCGCGTGGCTCTCGGTAGGTGCTGAGCGCGCAGGGGCTCGGGAGGCGCGGGGCGCGCGGGCTCGGCGGGGCCGTGGGAGGCGCAGGGGGCTCCGAGCCGAGCCGCAGGCCGGATCCCAGATGCAGGCCCAACGGGGAACTTGTCCCTGCCTCCCCTGTACCCCAAGTGCTTGAGAACCCCGGTTTCCACAGACTGGGCTCCTACTCCGGGTGGGGTGGCCCACGCCGGTGATCCCAGCACTCTGGGAGGCTGAGGCGGGAAGGTCACAAGATCCAGCCCAGCCTGAGCGACTTGGCGACTTAGTAAGACGCAGTCTCAAAGTACTAAAGGGCCGCGCGAGGAGAAGGCCCTTGGGACCTCCGGAACCTGCAGCCCGGGCGCCGCAGAGCCCTGTCTTGGAGCGGGACCGATGTTTGCGCACCAAGGGTGTGGTGCCCTACCGGCCACCTGGCGTCCGGGGCCGCGGAGCTAGGCTTGAACCGTACACGCCCCTCGGAGCCCCGGCCTTGGGGAGGGGTCGGTGCCTGCTCTGGCAACCACGACGGGCAGGGCCGAGGTCCTGTCCTACCGGGTCACAACTGGGCGCTCGGATGCTGTAAATGCAGCTCCGGATCCGCACGCAGAGGCACGGAGGGTGCAGGGACCCCGCTGGGCCGCTCCCCCTTCGCCAGCTGTGTGAGCTCGGACCGGTGGCCTCACCACTCTGTGCCGGCCCAAGTAGAGAAGGGAAGGAGATTGTGGCCTCTGGTTTCCCGAAAGAGCAGCCGGGTGGGCGTAGTCTGATTCTGGTAATCATGCCGGCCGAGATGGCCTTTTCTGGGACTCTCCTGTGGCAGCCAGGAGGCTGGAGGTCACAGATGGGGACAGGCCGCCGGCTCCCACTTTTCCTCACACAGCAGAAGGGCTGTGGGTCAGCGACTGTCTCGTTCACCATCGTAAATGAGCCCCAGAGTTGCAGATGGCGGGTGGAAGGGACCCAGCTTGGCCGCTTTTAGCTGTCAGAATTGCTGCAGCTCCGACTCAGGTGCACTGGATTTCCTCCTGACTCTTCTGGGAGGTGGAGTTTAGATCTAGGACAAAGTGGAGAGGGTTTCATTGGGTGGCAGCGGATAAGGAGGGAGGCTTTTATGGAAAGCAGGAAGAATTTAAAGGCAAACAAAAGCCCATCACCTGCTCAGGCCTGGCAGGCACTCCTGGGATCCCAGCACTCCTCAGAGGCAGAAGCAGGAGGATCATTGCAAGTCCCCCCAAGAAAGGTACATTAGTGCTACCTAAGGGAAAAATAACCAAGTCCGGGTTACACTGTCAACGGTCATGTACCCTCCCAAGGTTTAAAATTATGGTCTGTTTCCGGGTGTCAGCCTAAAGAGTAGGAGGCAGGGTGGCTGATGGGTAGCCCAGTGATCCTCCTGCCTCAGCTTCCAGAGCACTGGCATGTGGCATGTGCCACCACACCCAGCTCATTTAGGTTCTTACAGGCGTTTCTGCACAACCAGTGCAGAAATGTTTAGGGCAGGACTGGTAGGAATCTTGTGTTACTGTTCTTTGTCTGGAAAAACTAAAGACCCTTCAGGGTAACTGAACAGTACTCTCAGACGTTAGCAGGACTTCCTGGTCCCCCTTAGAAAATCTCAGGAACTCATCTGTTGGGGAGAGATAAAAGAATCATTAGGAATGATCAACAGTAAAGAACAGCAAAAACCCCAGATTTAGTGAGCTCCACCCATCCACAGTAGGTAGATTGGAAGGAATGACCCATAATCCCTTGGAGCTTTTTGGCTTCCCCATTTTGGACATTTTCACAGTAGGCTGAGTCTTGAGCAGGTATCATCAGTCGTAGCAAGTTGACAAAACTCTCCAGTAGCAGTGCTTCCTAGAGGGTCCCCAGGGCCCAATCTGACTCAGCTACTACTTAGGGCTCTGGCTGACATGCTCTGTTAGAGCGAGGAGCAGCTGTGCTCAATTTGTGGTCTTCACAGTGAGTTGCGTGCCCAGCCCTTTATTTTTCGAGATAGGGTCTTAGTAAAGCATTGGTTTCAAACTTGGAATCGTCCTGCCTCAGCCTCAAAGAGTGCCAGGGTTATGGACCTGCACCACCCTGCCTGGTTTAGACTACTGTCTTAACCTTTTCTGCAGCAGAGGTAATTGAGCAGGCCACCCAAAAAGAAATGCCGCCAAAACTTCACACATTTAAAAGAGCAAAGAACTGTTAAGATTTATTTCAATGAAGTCATTTACCACACTGCTATGACTCCTGTGAGTGATGTACCACACAGCTGGCGTCAGCCAGCAGTGTCCTGCCATCATCATATAAGGGCACTGCTCTGTGGCCTTCTCAGGGACGGGTCCCAAGATGAAGTCTTCGGCCCAGGGAGTGAAAAGCCTCATCCCGAGACCTAGTGGGCATGAGAAGTGCGGAAGGGGAGGCTTGCGGGCAGGTTTTCTCCCTCGAAGTCTGTGAAGTCCTGTTACCCTGCGCTGGCTGCACGATAGATGGCACATTCTTCCCTTCCTGCCCCTCATTCCTTTTTAAAACCTGGTCTCAGGCCTCAGTGGCACAGGGGCCTGCCTGGCAGTTGTGAGGTTGTGAGTTTAATCCCCAGTACCAAAAAAAAAAAGAATTTCGCTTAAATTGGCTTAATTTGGGAAGGGAAAAAAAAACTGCCTACTAAAAGCAGGTTTCTGTAGGCCAGGCTGACCTCGAACTTGCAGTGATCCTCCTGCCTCAGCCTCCCGAGTGCTAGCCATCCTTTCCCCCCTCCCTTTATGGATTATTATTAGAGTCCAGCAGCGCGCATCTCAGTGGTCTTTGCCTCCTTCCCACAGCCTCCCCTTCCCCCTCCCCCACTGAGAAAGTTCTCCTGACTTCCTTCATCTGCCCTTTTTGGCTTTGTTTTCCCTGGGGGCTTCTTGCTGTCTCTCGATCTCTCTCTCTAAGGAAGTCGACCTGCGCCTGGGTCCTGCGTGCCATGCAGGTGACCCAAGGTCACTGCCTGGTGTGGTCTCAGTGCCATCCCTGAGACAGCAGTTGGGGGCTGCTGGTGTCAGCAGTGGGACTCTGGAAACTGCTTCCAGCCTCGAGGTGTGGCTCCAGGAAGCGAGTGGACAGTGGGGAGAACTGGGTGGTGGCCCTAGAGTCCCCGCAGCACCCCCAACTGGCACCTGTGTCCAGCAGGCCTGGTGAGCTGCACCCTGTTCCTGGCCGTTCATGGTCTCTACTCCTCCGGTGATGCCGTCATCGAGCTGACGCCAACCAACTTCCACCGTGAGGTCATGCAGAGTGACAGCTTGTGGCTCGTGGAGTTCTTCGCGCCCTGGTGAGCACCATGGGTTGAGCAGAGGGGCTGGGGAAGGAGCTGGTTCTGTCCAGGAGTCTGGCATGGTTTACAGTTCCCTCTACCTCCCGTGTGTCGCTGAAGAGACCGGGAGCCAGCACTGACCAGGCCAACACTGCGCACCTGACAGCGGTAAATGCCCCAGAGTAGAGACAGCTCAGGGCAAGCTATAGGTCTGTGTGTGACACTGTCACTGCCCCAGAGCAGCAGGCCGCAGGTTCCCAGGAGGATTGAGCTCAGCCAGCTCAAACCAAGAAAGGTGAGCTGAGAGCTGAGACCCGGAAGAACTTTTTTTTTTTCTCTTCTCTTTATTAGGGGTTGTACTCAAGGCCTTTGCCCTGAGCTACATCCCTGCCCTTTTTTATTTGGAGAAAAACTTTTGCTAAGACACTAAGACTAAGTTGCCCAGGCTGGGCTCAAACTTGAAATAGTCTTGTCTCAGCCTCCCGAGTGCTGGGAGCCCAGGCCTGCACCACCATGCCCAGTTGTAAGTTTGGTCATGTGTCACAGACCGTTTACCTTTCCCCTGAGGGCTGCAGTACCAGAGGAAACGCTTTGTTCTGAAAGCGTGCCCTCCTGAGAGACTGAAAGGCAGAACTGCAGCAAACAGTAGCCAGGGCTCCCCGCCTGGAATCCCCTGGCCAGGCAGAGGCTTTGCCCAGCATCCCTGGTAACAGGAAGCTGAACTGTCATGGAGTGGGTGGGGTTGAGAAGATGCCGAGGTGAACCACGGAGCAGGGCTGCCGTCCTGTGCCTCCACCCCAACAGCTGGGGAGCAGGGCATCAGCTGACCAGCCCGGCGTCCTGACCCCAAGTCCCCGGCTTCTCAGGTCAGGGCTGGCTGAGGTGGATGTGAAGGTTTTCGAAAGGCGACCCTCGGCATTGGCCTGACTTTGCCACTCCCGGCATGAAGGAACGTGGTGCCCACCTGCTACCCAGGCCAGGAGTGGTTCACACACAGCTTGGCACTCAGAGGCCCTGGTCCCACCACCAGCACCACATTAACACAGTAAACCTGTTGGGCAGCTGTCTCTGGGTGCAGGGTGACAGTGGATGTTTCCTGACCCTTAGTCTTCTGTATCATATAAGAGAAGGGGCCAGAGCCACGCAGGAGACTGCCCTGAAGGTGGTCGCAGTGACCTGGTCAGCACACTCTTAGGAGCCACCACATCCCCTCACGGGACCACTGTGTTCCTCATAAATCAGGTGGTAAAAGCCCAGGTATGGTGGCACACACCTGTGATCCCAGCACTGGGGAGGCTGAGGCAGGAGGATTCCTGTGAGTTTTAGGCCAGCCTGGGCTACAGAGTGACTTCAGGGCCAGTCTAAACTGTAAAACCTTGTCTCAAAAAACCAAAAATTTAAAAATGCAGTGTCACACAGCAAGAAAAGCAGGCCTGTGATCTCAGTTAGCTGTGGGTGCCTTTTCTACATATATTTTGCAATGATTTATTTTTATTTATTTTGGGTATGGGAAATCAAACTCAGGACCTTGAGCTTGCCAGGCAGTACTGTGCCACTGAGCCTCATCCCTGACCCTGAAGTAACTTTTAAAACCCAGTCCCCATGAGGTTGGTTTCCCTGTGTTCTGCCTGGCCTATCCTCTCCTTGTGCGGTGCCTTGTACTTTTCAGAGGTGTTGCCTTGGGCCCTGTGCTCCCATGGCAGGTTTCTGTTGTGTTTAGTCTTGCGTTACTCAGCACCTTCACTGAGACGCTTCCCAACTCTCCTTCACACTGACTGCTGGGACCTGGGGCTGTGTCGATCTCACCCTGGGCTCCTGTGTGCGGCCTCAGGGGCGTCACAATCTGCCGGGCTTTTGTTGGGCCATTGCGTAGGAGTGCGTTTGCGTGCCGGGTCACATGTCCTCTCCCAGCGCTGGGCCCCTTTGCTGGCTTGGAGCGGAGGCCCAGCTGGCCCATCACCGTCTCCTCCCTGCAGGTGCGGTCACTGCCAGAGGCTGGCACCTGAGTGGAAGAAGGCGGCAAGTGCACTGAAGGTGGGTGACGCAGTCGCTGTCCACCTACATGTGAGGTCCTGGGGATTGTAAGTGCCCAAGTGTCCCCTGCCATCGGCATCCCGCTTTCCCGGCCCATGGCCTGCCCACCAGTGCCACTGTCCCACCCACCTGTAGGAGACCCTGGGGCAGCTGTGTTTGTGACCGCTGGGGAGCGGCTGACCACAGCTGAAGGAAGTGCAGATGACTGCTTTCTGTCCCTGCAGGATGTTGTGAAAGTCGGGGCTGTCGATGCAGACAAACACCAGTCCCTGGGTGGCCAGTATGGCGTTCAAGGTTTCCCGACCATCAAGATCTTCGGAGCCAACAAAAACAAACCGGAAGATTATCAGGGTGAGGGCTCTCTGCCAGCTTGCTTTGGAGCCAAGAACCAGGGCTTCTGTTTGATTTTTGCAGTCCTGGGATTGAACCTAGGGTCTTCACACCAAGCTACACCCTGGCTCTGTAACTTTTTATTCTGAGCAGATTCTTTCTAAGTTACTTGGGCTGGGCTCAAACTTGGGATCTTCCTGCCTCAGCCTCCCGGAAGGCTGGGTGGCAGATGTGCACCACCCCACAAGCAAGAACCTAGATTCTGTAACTCATTAGCCCAATGTCTGCAGGTTTCTCCCCATCCTCCTGCCTGAATTTTCCCCCTCTAGATGGCAGAGCTGCGCTGCCCTAGTTACTCTGGACTCTGATGCACCACAGGTCACACAGCTTGGCAGCAATAGGTGGCAGCTGCAGTACAGTGGGGACTAGCTCGTGCATTTACACCTGGGTCTTGATGAATGTGGGATTCTGAGACAGGGTCCAGGCTGCACTCAAACTCATGATGATCCTCCTGCCTCATCCTCCAGGGTGCTGAAATGGCAGGCACACCTCTTTGTGCCCAGCTCTGAGCATTTGACCCTTAGCTGCCCTCTGGTCTCAGAGACTTGGTGGTGGTAGTGGTGGGTGCCCCGAATTTCCCCTTTTATAGATGGGTATGTTCTAAGGGTCTGCCATGAGGTGGGGCAGCAGTGAACCGGGACTTTGACCACCAGACTCCGGCCAGAAAGGGCCACAAGGTCTGAGGGCAGAGCACAGGGTCCCCACCCATGGACCCCATGCTCACAAGTCCTGGGTTCAGCTGAAGTGTGATGAGAATGGTGTGTGTGCAGCCCAGGGGACAAGTGCTTGGTGGACACCAGTGTTGCCAGGCTGTCCCCAGGCTAAGGGATATATCCTTTGTCTTCTGGACACCCTTGGTACTGGGTACTCAAAAGTGATCAGTTTTCCTGAGTTGCCGTCTGCTTTTCTGCTTTGGAGTAATGATTGGGCCGCAGAGAGCCCACTGCGGGGTGAGTGCCAGGCTTGGCTCTTGTGGGCTCTCTCAGGTCAGACTTCACCCCTGAGCCGTGGGACATGAGATCCCTGTGCTGCCAGGTAATGCAGACAGCTAAGACAGGAGCACTGCGCTGGTTACCTCCTGACGCCCTCTGTCCCACAGGTGGCAGGACCGCAGAGGCCATCGTAGACGCCGCGCTAAGTGCCGTGCGGCAGCTGGTGAAGGACCGGCTGGGTGGCCGTGCCGGGGGCCATGGCTCGGGAAGGCCGGTGAGGCGGGGCTGGGGCGGACCGAGTACCCCTCATAGGAGGTTCAGTTCCCCACTTCGTTCAGTGACAGCAAGTGGCGTGTGCTATCCAGGAGGCTGGGGCCATAGCCCGGCTGGGGCCGTTTCCTCTGTGCAGTCTCCAGAGAATACTCTCACTTGGTGGCCATGATTAGGGACGCACCTAGGTGGAAAGCGGGCTTCTCTGCACCCCACTGGAGTCTGACGCTTGCATCTGGTACCAGGGCAGGAGCGAAGGCCCCAGTAAGAAGGACGTGATCGAGCTGACAGACGACACTTTCGACGACAGCGTGCTGGACAGCCCAGATGTGTGGATGGTGGAATTCTATGCCCCGTGGTGTGGACATTGCAAAAAGTAAGCACTGCGCAAGGTGTCTGTCCGTGCACAATGCTGCAAGGATGCTTGTCCAGCTGCTGTGACGGAGCCCATCAAGTGGAACCAGGGATTGTGAGGACATTGCTGGGGTGGCCTGGTGTGGGCTGGGATGGGGTCAGGGCCTGGAGTGAGCTTCCGAGAGTGACATGGCACAGGCTGGACAGGGACACCCAGGAGGGCCTAGTCCCTGAGCCCTGAGCTGTGCACCCTCCCGCCCAGCCTGGAGCCAGAGTGGGCTGCTGCTGCCACAGAAGTGAAGGAGCAGACCAAGGGCAGAGTGAAGCTGGCGGCCGTGGATGCCACTGTGAACCAGGTCCTGGCGAGCCGCTATGGGGTGAGTGCCGGAGGACAGCGCCTTGCAGGGACTCGGGCTGCTGGGTACCTGGTGTGGCTCACTGGAGGCCAAGGCTGCCCCAGCTTGTCTGAGCTGTCATGCAGTCTTTGAAAGCAGGCCTTGTGAAACACTAGGGCTGGGGGCGGCAGGGTGTGTCCGTTGGGCAGCCTGCAGGCTAGACTGTTTGTCACAGGGCATTGCTCTGGTGGCTTTAAGAGGTGCAGAGGTGTGGCTTCCTTGTCCTGAGTGTTCATGTGACCTCGTGCTTCCTTACCAGATCAGGGGGTTTCCCACAATTAAGATCTTCCAGAAAGGTGAGGCCCCCGTGGACTACGACGGTGGGCGGACACGCTCGGACATCGTCTCCCGGGCCCTGGACCTGTTCTCCGACAATGCCCCGCCTCCAGAGCTGCTGGAGGTAACCCCATCTGGCTGGGGCAGGGACGCTAACAGGAGATAACACTCTTGTCTGCTCCAGTCCAGCTCTTTCCCCTTGAGATTTTTGAGGCAGGGTCTTGCTGTGTAGTTTAGGCTGGTTGTGACCTCACCAAACTACATGGGATGTGGCCCCCTCAGGGTTCTGCCCATAGAGGGTGGGGAGCTTCGAATAGAGGACAGGAGTCCAGTCTTGGGGTTTTGGTACAGGAAGTGTCTTTCCCCACAGATCATCAATGAGGACGTGGCCAAGAAGACGTGTGAGGAGCACCAGCTGTGTGTGGTGGCCGTGCTGCCCCACATCCTGGACACTGGTGAGTGGGCAGCTGCTGCCCACTGAGCACCCTCCCTAGGGGCTCCCTTGCCTTCACCCTTCAACCCATGTCTGTCTTCCCAGGAGCGGCAGGCAGGAACTCTTACCTGGAGGTGCTTCTGAAGTTGGCAGACAAATACAAGAAGAAAATGTGGGGGTGAGGAGGGACCCTGCTGACAGTGTGGGAGAGGGGGTGGGCTTCCTTGAGGCAGTGTCCCTGGAGTCCCATGTTGCTCATTGTTTTTATTTACAAGCGAAAAACAAGTCATTCCAGAAGAAACGTAAAGCAGGGCCTTTACTCACCAGAAGTCTATTGGACACACCCAGCTTAAAGGAAAGTTTAATTGGCTCATGGTTTTAGTGGGTTCTGTCCATGGTTGCCGGCTCCATGGCAGGACAGGCATGGTGGAAGGACCTGGCAGAGGACACACAGGCTGCTCACATTATGGCAGCCAAGAGGCAGGAGGGATGAGTGCATCCTTCTAAGCTGGGTCAATGGTCTGTACCTGTCGTCCCAGAATGTGGGAGGCTAAAGTATGAAGATGTCAGTGATTCTGAGGCAGCCTAGGCTGCGTAGCTCAAGACTACATAGCAAGACCCTGTCTCAAAACAAAGAGAAGAAGGCTTCTGGGTTACACCACAAAACATGTGACCTCCACCAGCCAAGCACCACCTCCTGCCACATCCATGGATGAATCTGCTGATGAGCACAGTGTCGTCCCATGGTCCCAGTCACCTCCCAAAGCCACAGCTCTGAACATGAGACTCAAGGAATCTAGGTCTACCCTGTAACAGCCTCTTCAGCCCGCTTGTCCTTAGGGGTTGAATCTTACTTGGCAGTTGGGGTTTGTGTTAGGTTTTTCTTTTTCTTCCTTTTTGAGACAGGGTTTCACTGCATAGTTCAGGCTGGCCTTGAGCTCACTGTGTAGCCCTGGCTGATCTTGAACTTGCAACAGTCCTGCCTCAGCCTCCCCAGTGCTGGGATGCTAGGAGTATGTCACCACACCCAGCTTGCATTAGATTTTTGCCACTACAGCATTTTAAAGGAGAAAGATTCACTATTGTCGGTCAGAGGCAGCAGCACCCCGAGGGAACCCAGGGCACAGCTGGGACAGACACAGGAAGAGGGTGCCCAGTGCTGCCAGTTCCTGCTAGGCCCCCCTCACCCTACACGGCTACACAGGTATCTGCACCCAGTGGTGAGGGCATCTTACACTGACAGCCCAGGGTCACAGGCTGCAGGCCACAAGTGGAGCCCAGTGAGATGCCTGAGCCCCCAGCATCCGCTCAGCCCCTCAGGTGGGGCTAGATCTAGGCAGACTTGAAACAAACCATCACACACACACCCCCTCCCCTGCTCATCCTCTCCCAGATGCCTGGCACCCCCTGCCATCCACAATCACCTTGCCCCTGGTGACCATGCATATGCACAATAAGCCAGACAGCATTGCTGGGGTTCCAGGCTGCAGCACAGCAGCCATGCGTGGGATGGGTGCTGTTCCGGGCTCTGAGCACAAAACTTAGAATAGAGTGGTGTGCTCTGGGGTTGCACAACATGCTCCCTGGACTCCGCTCTGAGGCATCTTCGTATTAACACCCTTCCCCTTCACAGGTGGCTGTGGACAGAGGCGGGCGCCCAGACAGAGCTGGAGAGCGCACTGGGCATTGGCGGGTTTGGGTACCCAGCTATGGCTGCCATCAACGCACGCAAGATGAAGTTCGCGCTGCTCAAGGGCTCCTTCAGTGAGCAGGGCATCAACGAGTTCCTCAGGTGACCTCAAGCTGTCTGGGCACTCAGCTTGGTGTCTGTTGGGCTCCGTTATGGTTTCCAGTTGGAAACTAGGTGTATAAAACTGTGCAGCAGGCCTGGTGGGGATAGGGAGAGAGGGGGAAGCACACCCCTGAGATCCCAGCATTTGGGGTGCTGAGGCAAGAGGGTGGCAAGTTGGAGCCCAGCCTGGGTCAGCAAGACCCTAAATCAGAATAAAAGCACAACCCCAGGCTGTTGGGGTGCGAGGCTTGAGTGCCATACCCGTACCAGGCAGGCCTCTGTTCCCGTGTCTGCCCTGACATGTCTGCTGTCTCCCCAGGGAGCTGTCTTTTGGGCGCGGCTCCACAGCACCTGTGGGTGGCGGTGCCTTCCCTGCCATCACTACAAGAGAGCCCTGGGACGGCAAGGATGGCGAGGTGAGTGCCCAGGCTGGAGGTTAGGTCTCCCAGAGCCAGGCCAGCACACTTGAGCCTGACCCATCCTCTGCAAAGTGCCTGGTGGCATTTGATGGTCTGGGTAGGTGTCACTGGACGTTGCCGTTCAGTTGCTCCCCCTCTGCTGTCCTTGGCCCGGAATCTTTACTTTGTCCCAGAGGAATGTGAAACTGTAATTTTCAAATTAGGATTTCTACCAGGTGTGGTGGCACGTGCCTGTCATCCCAGCACTTAGAAGGCTGAGGCAGGAGGATCTCACAACTGCCAGGCCAGCTGGGGCTACATAGTGTCTCAGAAAAGAAAAAATAAAAACCCAAAAAGCCACCCAACACCCAAGTCCTGGACTTTCCCATCTGGGTGTCGGGAACTGGGCTGGGGAGGAGCCAGCAGCCTAGGCCCCCTATGAAGCAGGTCACTGGCCTCAGGCATCCCTCTGACCCTGGTTTCTGTCCCACAGCTGCCCGTGGAGGACGACATTGACCTCAGCGATGTGGAGCTGGATGACCTGGGGAAGGACGAGTTGTGAGAGACGCGTCCCAGCCATGACCCAGTTCTTCTCCTTGGGAGTGAACAGGTTTCTCTAGGGATGCAGGTGCAGCCTTGACGTGTGGATTTGCCAGCCGCCTTTGACCCCCAGCCCAGGCTGGCCACTTGAGGGCACTGTGGCCGCACACCTCGCATCTAAAGAACACTGAAAAATTCTATGAATTGTAGCAGCAAGTCGGTGCAGTCTGTGGTGTAACGTTCTGAAGAAAACTGGGCAAAAAACTACAGTTTCCCTCCCTCTGACTGCTGCTCCAATGTTCCCGGAGGCTGTTTGTTACGTGTAGGTTTTTTAAAATGTGACTCCTTTATTTGGATATTAATGGCTTTTTCCATTAAAGAATAAAATGATATTTTGGACAATGCTGATAAATGTATGGAATTACCGTCCACATTGCCGTCTGTCTGGAGCCAGTAATCTCCCCATAAAGGTTTCTTTTCGGTTGAGTCAGGGTCTGGCTGTGTGGTTCAGGATGGCCTTCAGCCATCCTGGCCCAGGCTGGTGTCAAACTCGCAGCAGTCCTGCCTCAGCCTCCCGAGTACTGGGATTGCAGATGTGTGCCACCACACTCGACCCTATAAATGTTTTTAAAACGAGGCCAGACCTTGGTCACCTGATGCTGCCATCTGGGTAAGTGGCAGCCTGTGGTGCCTTAAGGTTCCCAAATGGTCTTCTGGCAGCAAGGTGGCCACTCCCGGGCCAGGGGACACAGCTGGACCCTGGGGACAGGCGCCTTGCACCGTGGAACCCTCAGAATGGCAGCCATTCAGATTCTGTTAGAAGACACAACTCGAAGGACTGAGCATTTTATTATAACTTAAAAAAGTAAATACATTATTGGGCTTCCATCTCCGGGGATGAGGGACTGAAAGGCTCTCGAGTTTGCAGGGAGCAGCTGTGAGGGCAGCTTCGCCCACGGGCCCTGCAGGAAGCCTGGGACCGCCTAGTCCAGCAAACCGAGGTCGATGTGGAAGTAGACGTAGGGAAAGTAGTCCTGGTTGCTGAGCTGCAGCCCCGGGATCTCCACCGACGCCTGGGAGAAAGGATGGGTGGCGGCCTCTGCGCCTGCGCCTGCGCCTGCGCCTGCGCACTCACTCCCTGGCACACATGTGTGCTGCACATCGGCCATCCGCCCCCAAACGCAGGTTCTGCATGCTCTCCCCGCAGCTGGCAAGCGGTTTTCACTCTTAAGGGAAACCTGCCGTGGGCTTGGTACCTACATCTAGGGTGCTGGCAGCCGCCACTTCATCTAGGTGTCGGAAGACTGAGTTCAGCACCTCCCTCAGGCGTTTGGTGGCTGACTTCTTATGTGGCTGCAGCAGCACCGCCTGGAAGTTCACCGGCAGCCCATACCTGTCGGGAGACAGTGAGGTGGAGGTAGGAGGGGGACCGGCAGCTCGCGGGGTGGGACCCACATGCCCGCAGCACCAGCACTTTGTGGCTGAGACAGCAGGATCCCAAGTTGAAGCCCTGCTGGATAGCAGCAACTTAGACAAGCTTTTCTCAGAAAAAAAATTGAAAAGGGGCTGAGGATATAGTTCAGTGCAAAGGCCCTGGGTTCGATCCCCAGCACAGGAATAAAAAATAGGAAAACTTAGGCCAGGCTAAATGCTAAAGTGTTAATGCTGGACAGGCAGTGGGACTGAATTTGGTGATTCCAACACATGCAAAGCGAGGAGGTCACAGTGGCGCACACTTGTGATCCCAGCACTCGGGAGGCTGAGGCAGGAGGATCGCCGTGAGTTAAAGGCCAGCCTGGGCTACACAGGGAGACCCTGTCTCAAAAGAACAAAAAAATAAATGGGTCCTGCCATGGCCCCGAGTCCAGGGCAACTACCAGCATAAGATAGTTTCATCTGATTTGCAGCGTCCTCCATCCTCACTGCATTTAGAGTTTGTCCTTAGATCCTCAAAGGCAGGGGCAAGGGGTCTGGGGCGACCACACAGTGCCCTGAGCCTAAGTCCAGCCTGTGGGGTACAGGACGGGTCCCAGTGAGTGGAGTGGCCTGGCTGGTTGCCCCCACCTTCTGGTTCCCTTCAGTGTGGGCTACCTGACTCAGTTTCCCTTGGTGGCCCAGAAGCAGTCCAATCCCCACCTTGGGCTGCCTGTCGGACAGGAGAAGCGAATGCCCGGAGCTCACCCCTCTTCCTGAGCATCGGAGCTGAGGCAGCAGCAACCCCTGCCCTCTGCTTTCCCTGGGTCATCAGTCCCCACACCTACCATGATGACACCCTGTGACATCTGCTCTCCTGACATTGGGCCATCATCCAGCTGCCTGGTTGCTACAGCGGCCTGCGGTTCATGCATTACCTATTCTGTTTGGATCTTGGATCTTTTCTTTCCACCCAGTACTAGGAATTGAACCTGGGACCTCTGCACTCAGCTGTACCCCCAGCACTTTTTATTTTTCCAGACATGGTCTCACTAAGTCACCAAGATCCACAGACTGAGCTCGAACTCCCATCTCCTGGCTCAGCCTCCCAGAGTGGGGATCACAAGACTTGCACCCACATGCCCAGAGCCTGTCCCAAGAGCCAAGAGGCTAAGAGCTGCTGAAACAGAACACGGAGCTGAAGGAAGGTGGCCCCACCGACCCTCAGAACAGCCCTGGTGCCCACGCACCTGAGTACCGACTCCACAAACACCCTGAGGGCCTTGATGTGGATCCAGGCAATGAAGGCCTCGCTGAAGTTCACCTTGAGCCAGCGCAGCAGTAGGCCCTGAGGAGAGTGGATTGCATGACCTCGGCCGCTCGAGGGGCTGGAAGGGGACGGCCAGGGAGCTGCAGAAGCACCAGGGAGGGAGCCCGGGAGGCTCAGCACACACCATCCAGGCAGCCACCAGCACATGCAAGGGGCCACCACGGCCCAGGGTAGGCACCCGGCAGTCCCTGACCTCAGGGCTGCCCGTTGAAGAGCCACCTGGTCAGCAAGGGCTATGCCTGGTCCTGGTGGCAGCCAGCGCTGCCCGCGTGCCAGTCATCCAAGGCAGCTGCCCACTGAGGTCGGGGGCGGGGCAGCCCGGAGGCCCGGGCCCTACCTGCCACCAGCTCCAGCCACTGTGGCCAGGGCACAGGCACCCAGGCCGGCAAGCACCAATCCCTGCAGGAGGGTGACCCCAGGAAGCCAAGGTTCCGGGTCCTGGAACTGAAGACCTCTAAAGCCCCGAGAGATAACAGGAATGCAGAGAACTATTGTACCAAAGACACCTGCGGGGCAGAGCTGTGAGCCGGACCTGGGCTCCCACGGGGGCTGCTTACCTCGCCCTGGCCCTCGCCCTCACTCTCTCTGTCCGGCTGCCCCGCCACGAGCCTGGCAGGGCTCCCTAGCGGGGCTCCCTTAACCTTGTGGTCCCGGTAGGTGGATGGTCCCTTTTTAAGAGCAACACAGGAATTGTGCTAAAGGTACAGAAATGGTTTATTAATCGTCTGGCAAATACGCATCACCATATGCAGTGTCATTCTCGGCCCTGGGAAGGCAGCTCAGGCCTCTAGCCGCAGCCTGGCTTCAGACACCAGGGCAGAGCCGTGGGGCGTGGCTCAGGGCTCCGTCCCTCCCCCCATTCCCTGCCTGTCCTGGATCAGGGCCCTGTCCTGGGCACAAGGGCAGCACAGGTATCTGCAGAAAGGGCCCGCCTGGTGGCCACAGCACCTTCACAGATGCACCCCACTTCCCGTCCCTCAAATAGGGAAATGAGCCCTTCTCTTCTGTTGCCAGGTAATAAGGACACAGGAAGCCAAGATGGCGGTGCATGTTTGTAATCCAGAGGTTGAGGCAGGAGAATCATGAGCTCGAGGCCAGCCTGGGCAACACATCGAGAGCTGGCTCAGAAATCCCAGTTGGCTGGGGTCCATTTCCCACCTCCAGGGGACTCTGCCGGCTGCTGTCACCGGTGGCAGGTCTCAGTCCACCAACTCTTGCTGGGGGGCCCCGGGCTGGCCCTGTCACCTCTAGGGACCATATGTGGGGCTTGGGGTCAGGGAGCCTCTGCCCTGCCTGGGTGGTGCGGTGTCATTGCTCAAAGGACAAGGACACGCAGGGATGTAGCACCCTCGTCTGCAGGAGCCTCAGCCCAGCAGTATCTCCCAAGTCTGTGCTCTGGGTAGGAGGCACAAAGTCCCCCTATCGGAGTGGGGCCCTGTGGCACAAACCTGTCACCCCAGCTACTTGGGAGGCTGAGGCAGGAAGATAACAAGTTCAAGCAATTTGGTGAGACCCAGTCCCAAAAAGAATAGAAAGGTCTGGGGATGCAGCTCGGTACAGGGACCCCAGGTTCTATCCCCAGGGTGGTGATACCGAAAAGAAATTCCCTCCACAGACCCCATGTTGGCCTGGCCGGGCTCACTCCTGCAGGGGGGGGCCTCCCTGCAGGGCAATGCAGAGCTGGGGTGATGGCCGGGGCAGGGGCCTGGCAAACACTTGGCCACCTCCAGGAAGCACTCCAGCCCAAGCACGTCCTGGCGGCCCTGTTTGCACAGCCACTTTCCAGGGACACTGAGTGCCTCCTGCCCCGCACCCTCCTCTCCCTGTTCTCCTGAGAGCCTCCCTGGGGGCCGGGGAGAAGGGATAAGAGTCACTGGGCTCAGACAGGGAGAGGATAGAGTGACTGTCCCCAAGCTACACTGGGCATCCAACTGAGTGACGTGGCACACGCCTGCTATCCCAGCACTCAGAAGGCTGAGGCAGGAGGGTCACCAAGAGATCCAGCCCAGTGTGGGCTACACAGCAAGCTTGAGGGCATCCTGATTACAGAGTGAGACCCCATCTTCTTTCATGAACACAGCTGCCTGACTGGCCCACCCCTGAAGTGAACAAGGGTAAGGCAAACAGGGTGTTGTGACCCCCAGAAGCCAAGAACAGGGCGATCAGTGGCTGCATCACCTGTTCTGGGGATGGACACTTCTGACCACTGCCCCCAAGCATGCTGTAGGTGGGGCATGGTGTCACGCTGTCCCCAGGCCCCGCTCTGGTGACCCCTCAAATTGCTCAGGGCACAAGGGGGTGCCCAGCCCTCCCCGGCTACTCACATACTGTTGCTGCTTGTCCGACAGCAACCTGGTCATCTCTTCCCTCTCTCTCTTAATTTCTTTCTCATCATAGTAAAATTCACGGACCATGAACCTTCAAAGAAACAAACAGTGATGGTCAGTCACCAGGAAGGTTCCGGAACATTGTGGAGGCTGAGGCAGGAACATTGTGGAGGCTGAGGCAGGAGGATCATCATGAGTTGAAGTCCAGCCTGCACGAGGTCGCAAGACCCTGTCTGGGGAAAAATAAAAGCAGCTTCCAGCAGACAGAGGAACCCCCACCCCGCTGCCATGCCAGACCCTTACTTGCTCTCCTTGGCTTTGGTCTTGAAGTCGTTGATCACTTTCCGGAACAGCGTCACGGTGAAAAGCCCACCCTCGGTGTCCTCTGCAATCAGTCTGTTTGGGAGAAGTTTGTTCCCTGGAACCATTGCCAGGGTCACCCCAGGCCAGGCCCGGGAGCGCTGGGTTCCCACTGACCACAATGGGGACCCAGTGTCCCTTGTTTCCTGGCTGGCTGCGCATGGTCCCCCCTCCCCTGGGCTGCAGCTCCGTGGGTCTCGGGTGACAGCAGCCAGGTCCCCACCGTGTCCCTAGCACCACATGGCTGAGCCGGATCCCTCCTGGGCCTGTGGCCAGCTCTGGGATCTCTGCTCATGACTGTAACCACAATCTCTGGGCGGGCACCTCACCAGCCCCGCCTCACAGCCAGCATCACGGGCTCCTAACCAGACACTGCCAGGGGTCAAGGTCCCAACAGCACAGGAGCTTCTGGGCCCAGGGATCCTGCTGACCACCCTGAAATTGGGACCTCTCACACCCATGGTTGTGTGGCCTGGTCCCCTCTCCTGTTTTGTGGTGGTTTGTTTGTTTGTTTGTTTTGAGTCAGGCTCATGCATGTAGCCCAGGCTGGCCTTGAACTCACAGCGATTCTCCTGCCTCAACCTCCTGCATGCCGGGATCCCAAGTGTGTGCACCACCCAGCTCAAACTCTCCTGTTCCTTGTTGCCACTTCCAGAGGGGCCATCCCAGTCCCCAGTGCCCAGTGGCCACGCTGGGGACCAGGGCCAAGCGGGGCATCACTCACTTGGTTGACCGGGGGACCACCATGTCCGAGAGGGACTCATAGCTATTCTGCCACCGGGAGTAGCTGGCCCTGCAGGAAGATGGTCACCTTCTGAGGGGCTTCAATGCAGCTGAGGCCAGAGACCCCCGGGCCTGCTACATGCTATGACCTGTGACCCCATGCAGGGACCTTGGTGGGGGACAGAGGGGCTTCCTCCTCCCCACCCAGTGGGAAGCCAAGACATCGCCACCCCGCCCCTCCCTCGGGCCACGTACTTAGGGACAATGACCAGGAGGGTGACCAGGTACTCGGAGTCCAGCACGAAGTCCTCCTTGCTGACAATGTCACTCAGTGACCGTGTGAGGAGGCTTCCCCTGCAGGGTGGTGGGACACAGCATGTGACCACAGGAGGGGGCGCTGCTCCACAGCCCGGAGCCAGCCAGCGGAGCCAGCCAGCGGGAACAGTCCCCAGAGCCCAGGACGCGTCTGACAGGCTCTTGCCATGTATTCTAGGCTGGCCTAGAACTCAAGGTGAGCCTCCTGCCTCAGCCTCCTGAATACTGGGGTGACAGGTGTGTGCCACTGTGGCTGGTCAGAGATTCTAAATGGCCATCACCCGGCTCCATGCCAGGCGGCCAGCTGCTGTCACCTGCCTTTGAGGACAGGGAAGCTGGCAGGGCCTCAGTTGCCATAGTCCAATAGCCGGTGGCTCGCTGTGCAGCTAAAGGGACTCAGTGTCACTCCTGCAGCCAGCTCCTGAAGCCACGCAAGCACCTGCAGCTGGGTCAGGTTCCAGGTCACTTTACAGGTCTTCCTGCCCAGCGGTGGGGGGACAGGGAGCCCCTGCAGTAGCTCCACAGGGCTGGGCCAGGCTGAACAAGGTGTGTGGCACTCAGACCTGGATCAGGGCTGCCATGTGGGCCAACAGAGCCAGTGCCCAAATGCCATGGCCATCGAGACGAAGCCAGCAACCAAGATGGGCCAGGACCTAGCCTGAGGGCCATGGCACAGGCACAGAACTTCCACCGTGAATATGTCGCAGAACAACTGTGTAATCCCAGCACCTGGTAGGCTGAGACAGGAAGGTCTCCAGCCCATGCCACGCAGTGAGATCAGAACCAACCTGGACTGCATGGCGAGACCCTGTCTCAAAATGCCGCATCAAGGCTCCCTCCCAGCCCCCAAGCGCCTTGTCCCAGCAAGGGGCTACACACGTGGATCTCTTCTCCAGGTTCTCTAGTGCAGTCTTCAGGGCATTGTAGGCAGCCATGCGTGACTTCAAGTCGGAGTCGATCTGCGCCAGTTGCTGTGGGAGGGGTGACAGGTTGAAGGGGCCACCAGCCCTGTTGGATGGTCACCAAGTGCCCGGTGTCTGGGGCAGCCCCGTAGGTCCCCCTGCTGCCCCTGGACAGAGCTGCTTCTAGCCCAGAGGGTCAGCACGCTGGGGTAAGTTGGGGCCAGAGGTGACAGGAGGATCCTGCCCAATCTGGCCATTTAGCAATTTAACAAGACCCTCAAACCCAAAAGGAAAGTTCTGCCCTGTCAGGGGCCTGACAGCGATTTCTAACCACAACCAGCTTGACCTTAATTTTATTTCTTTGTTTTTTGAGACAGGGTCTCACTATGCAGTTCAAACTGGCTTTGAACTCATAGAAATCCTCCTGCCTCAGCCTAACAAGTGCTGAGATTAGAGGCGTGCACCACCACCCTGGAATATCTTGCTTTTTGAAGTAAGATTGGTACTTTTTTAAAAAGAAAAACTGAGCCACGAGTGGTGGTACATGCCTGTGATCTCAGCTCTCCAGGAGGTTGAGGCAGGAGGATCACAAGTTGGAGCCCAGCCTAACCCATTTAGGGGCTAAGTGAGACCCTATCACAACATAAGAAATCAAGAGGGCTGGGGGTGCAGCTCAGTGCCAGGGGCCTGCCTCCATCCCCAGCCCTGTTCCTGCAGTCAGCCACGTCGCCCCAGCACCTGGACAGAATGGAAGTTCAGCCCCCTCCGATTTGCTGCCCCTGTGCTTGAAGCCTCCCCGGGGGAGGGCTCTCCCAGCTGGTTTAGGAAAGGGTGGGGTATGGCTGCCCCCAGATGCTGGGGTGATGGGACGTGCTGTGTGTGCAGCTGGCAGGGTGTCCTCAAGAGCTCTCCAGGTCATGGCCTCCTGTTCTGGGAGCTGCCAGGCTGTGATGCAAGCATTGCCTGGGCCACACCCGGATTCTCAGCCTCAGCCTCACCCTTGCACTGGGGACCCAAAGCCCTGGGCCCCCACTGAGCCACTGCCCCTGAGGACCCAGAGAACAAGGGGTTTTCCTCCTGCCAGGCTGGGACTTTCTCTCCAGCCACAGGGTCAATCAGAGATGGCACACAGTTGGGGCTTGGATGCCACAGAGGGGAACAGGTGTCAGAAACCACCAGCAAGCCTCAAGTAGCGCACGCCTGTCATCTCAGTACTCCAGGAGGCTGAGGCAGGAGGATCACAAGTTGCCCGGCATGGGCAGTTTAGCAGTTTGGCGAGATCCTGTCTCAAAAGCAGAGGCTGAGCTGGAGGCCTAAGCAGGGCCACATTGGGGGATGGGACGGGGCCCAGGGCACTGAGCAGAGCCGGAACCTGATCTCCTGCCTTGGCTCCCGCAGAGCCCAAGCCCATGTCCCCGTCACGGCCCATGTCCCTTCTCACCTTGGCTACCGTGTCCACCACGCTCACCAGCGGCTGCTTGGCAGGGTACTTGGCCATGTCCCATTCGAAGTGGGTCACAAAGGACGTCAGGTCAACTGGGGGACACAGACTATCAGTGCACTGTCCTGTGGCCGAGCTCATATTCACACCCAGACGCGGCAGGGACGGGAGGCTGGGGACGGAGCCCACATGGCCACCAGCCAGAGCCCAAGCACTCTGCAAAACTTGCCCACAGCCAAGGAGAGGGGACCTCAGCAGGTGCTTCTGTCCCCAAGCTCACGTGGACCTGCCGTGCAAGAGGCCAAGCTGGTGACATCTGGAGCCATCCCCGCCCACTTGCACAGCTCCCTGCCACTCACCACGCCCATGCAGGGTGTTGTGTTGTGTAGGTTGGGATTGAACCCAGGGTCTTCACACCGAGCTGTTCATCTGTTTATTTATTTTAGAGTCTGAGTCTTGCTAAGTCCCTAGTTGCCCAGCTGGGCTCCAACTTGCCATCCTCCTACCTCAGCCTCCCGAGTGCTGGGGTGACCACTGTGCTGGCTATGCTGTTTCAGAGAAGGCGTTTTTGGCATGAGGGTTTCTGTGTGGTGCCCGCAGCGCTCGCCTCTGAATAAAAGCACAAGCGGACAGACATGCGTGTTTCTCCAGCATCCGCATCTCCAAAACCAAACTAAGCCAAACCCTGCTGCCATCAGGTTCCGGGTTTCTGGAAGGGGAGAGCCAGACTTGCCAATGACCTCGCAGGGTTAAATCAGCCCCGCACCTGAGGACTGGGGGAGCCGCACCCCATGCCAGCTGCCCCGCAGCTGGATTGGTGGACCTTTAGAGAGCACCAAGTATGTAGCCCAGATTCAGTGCTTTCTCCTCTTTATTCTTCCTTCTGTCTGTTCCTTCCCTCTTCCCTGAGTTTCAATCTCGATCCATTACCCAGACTAAGCACCACGTGCTGGACTACAGAGATCCTCCTGCTCCAGTCTCCCATGCCGCTGGGAATTGCACTTACACCTTCCCACACTTGCCTCCCCTCTTTGTGCAAAAAGCCTGGTGGGTGCTCCAGGGCTATGATTGTTCCTGGAATCCCTGTCCCTCAGTGCGACAGCCACTGGGGCAGGTTTCCCACCCCAGCTTCTGTGTACCCACACTGTGAAGTGCATCTCCGTGCACAGGAAGAGGGACCATCAGCGGGGTGCCAGGCCACTGAGCTTGCTGCTCAGGGATAGTGGTGCCTGTGGGCGGCTGTGTCCCACAATCACAAAGATGGGCTGGGAGAGGACGCTTGTGTGGGCGGAGGGGAGGACAAGGAGCTGCTGCAGCCCCGGGGGGCGGGATGCATGGACAGAGGCAGAGCTAATGACACACAGGGTGCAGGGTAGGTGACACCCAGACTCTGAGGTTGCTGGCTGGGCAGAGGGTAGCCCGGGACAAGGCTGCTGCAGGGATCCAGTCCCCAGGAAGAACCAGGAAACCAAAGACGACTGTGGGGGCACAGATCAGCTTGGAGGTGGGAAATGCCTCAAAATCACACGGTGACAATGTCGGCCTTCGACACAGTGACATTTACTGACTGTGTCCCTTGGGCCTGGACTGTGACTGATCCCATCTAATTTGCTCTGCACCCCACTAAGAAGGCTGTCATCTCCTGAAGGAGCTGGCATGGGCGAGCTACTTAAGCTGGTGACTAAAGGAGGAATTGCAGTCGGGAGGCTGAGGCAGGAGGACCACAGAGTCTGAAACCAGCCTGGGCTTCACAGCAAGGCCCTGACTCAAAACACAAACCAACAAACCACAGAACAAACCTGGGCAGCATGCAGCACTTTTGGGAGAGGCAGAGTTACAGGAAAAAGACAGGAAAGAAATGAAGCAGCCGTGATCTGTGTCACACGGGTATCATGACTGAGCTGCGAAACCATTGCAGCCCGACCACTGTACCCCAACAGCCAGACCCAAGCGTCACACAGCACACAGCAGCGCACACAGCATGCAACCTACGCTTTAAACACCTCATCTTCTCCTTCACACCTGCAAGGGAAGGCGGGGGGCGGTTAGCAGGCATGGCGCCCCAACCACCAAGGTGCAGTGCAGGGACATGCACTGCCATGACTCAACCTCAGCCAGCAGACGAGATGCCTGGTCGTGGCCAGGAAGGACAGACGCATACGTGTTCCACGCCTGCTGTCAGCGCAAGGGACAGATTCCAACTTGGTGCGACTTCAGGGACTGGATCCCTGAGGTTGGCTGCTTGGGACATTGCCATCCCAGCCCTCAGGAGGCTGAGTCAGGAGGGTTGCCACACATTGGAGGCCATCCTGGGCTCCATAGTGAGGTCAAAGCCAGCCTGCACTACATAGCAAGGCTCTGTCTCAGAAAACCTGCGTCCCCTGGAAGAGACGCAGCAGCAGGTTACCCAGGCCCTGGGCCCCTAGGGACAGTACCCTGGGCAGACCCACCTCCGTTAGCCAGCAGGTTCTCCTGCACCTTGCCCTCGGAGTCCTCCATGACGTCCACCACGCTCTGCGCCATTCGCTTTATGAGGCTGCGGAGGGCAAAGGGAATCATGGGTAGAACACACGGCTGCCCAGGAAGATCGCACACAGCAGGAGGGTGGGGAGCTGGGCACTCCTGAGGGTGTCACTAGGGGGCTGCAGGGAGAGACTGCCAGTGTTAATAGCCACCAGATAGCATCCCAAGCTGTAATCCCACACTCTGTGAGGCTGAGGCAGGAGAATCTCAAGTGTGGGCCCTGCATGGGCAAGTTGGCAACTTAGCAGGATCCTGTCTCGAAATAAAAAGGGCTGGGGATGTAATTTAGTGTGAGGGCCCTGGGGTTCCATCCCTAGAGCCACACACACACACACACACACACACACAATAAAAACAGACTTCAGATGTTAGCAGCCTGTGAACCAGTAATTCCACTTCTGGGAAAGCTAAAAACAGGAAAACCAGGAAAAGTCTTCTCAGTGCAGCACTGGTGCTGACTGTAAAAAACAGGGAACAGCCAGAATCTCAACAATAGGGAATTGTCCGGGGCCTGAACAGGAGAGGCAGCCATGAAAATCGAGTTTACAGAGAGCCGCGAGGACGCAGATGAGGCCCGCTCTGTAACCTCAGAGAAAAGGAGACTGCAGCCACTCTGGATGCCCCTTGGCTGCAGGCTGCACCGGGCAGAAATGCACCTCAGTGTGCCCTTCCCTCCGCTCCCCCTTTACTGCTTTGACAGTGGAAAAGTAAACCTCCGATCTGCAGAAAACACACCAAATCTGAGCACCCAATGCACAGCTGTCGTCTCAGTGCTCTGGGAGGCTGAGGCAGGAGGATGGCAAGTTTAAGTACTACCTGGGCGGTTTAACAAGACTATGTCTCCAAAAAGCCCCAGGGATGTAGCTTGTGCAGAGGCCTTGGTTCAGTCCCCAGTGTTGTAAATAAATAACTGTCAGGCTGAGACCTGCTCATGTGAGTCAAGGCAGAGCAAGCCCGGGGACAAGAATTCCTCAACTCCAGTACCTGCAGTGGGAGCAGCTGGGAAGTTGGCATGGGCATTGTGCTTGGCTGAAAATCTACCAAAAGTTTAGCATGGGTATTTTTTAGTGTTTTGAGACAGGGTCTCACTATGTAGCCCAGGCTGGCCTCAAACCCATGGTGATCCTCCTGTCTCAGCCTCCCAAGGGCTGGGATGACAGGTATGTGCCACTACCCCCAGCCACCTGGCTATTTTGACTCTGTAACTTCAGCCATGGGAATTCATCTTTGTGCTAATCCCAGCTGCAGGGCTCAAGCCCAAAGAGCCTTGTGACTGCAGACAAAAGGGCACCCGAATGTCACCTCAGGGAGCCACCTGACCTAACGGGAAGCCAGGATGGCACTGAGGACAATGAGGGAGGTCACCTCCATATTACCATGAGAGGACAGCATCACAGACCAAGCCATAAATGCCCTCTGTAGTGACCATCCCATCTTCGCAAAAAGCAAAACAGAAAGCCACACACCTGCCTATGTGTTCAGAGAAGGGTCTGTCCTGATGGCCCTACACTGTAGACGTGGTGCGCGGGGTGTGGGCTGGCACAAGCAGAATATGGATTTGGTTGTTCTTTTTTTTCTAACAGGATCTCACTGCATAGCCCAGATTGGCCTTGAACTCGCAGTGACTCTCCTGCCTCAGCCTCCCCAGTGCTAGGCTGACAGGCATTGAAAGTGGGTTTTTAAAAAATAGATATCAATGTGATGAAACTAATTTTAAAGATTTATAAATACACAAAACTTGTGGTTTTTGAAAATGAACAGTAGAGATATTTCTGCTTGACTAATTCATTTTATATAATTTGAAAGTGATTGTCAATTATAAGAAACATGTAATCCCTTTAAACTTGTAATGTATTTAAATCATTTAAATTAACATTTTAAAAATGTTTTTCCCCTGTCTCCCTTTCCTGAAAGCCTGTTATTAGCAAAAAATAGTAATGTAAAGGGGGACTGAGAAATAAATATACTTATTATTCCGCTTTTTCTATTATCTCTTTCAAATGGCAAAAACAAAACTAGAAGCATTCCAAAAATAAAAATAAAATAAAATAAAATAAAAAAATAACTAGCACAGCCACGCTTGGTGGTGCACACCTGTGACCCCCGCACTCGGGAGGCAGAGGCAGGGGTCGCTCGGAGTGCAAGGCCGGCCTGGGCTCCGTGAGGCATCAGTACGGCGGTGATGGCGGTGCAAATCTGTAACCTCAGCATCCTGGGACACTGAGGTGGGGGCTGCAAACCTGGACAGCTTAGCAAGACCTTACCTGAAGACTGTTTAAAAGGCCCTGGGACTCAGCTCCCTGCAAAGGCCCGGGGTCACCTGGCTGCTGGCCCCTCTTGCCCCAACCGCCATGGGTCAGTGGGAACATGTGACCGGAGCGGGAAGCTCTGTTTATAGAAAACAAGCCAGGGCTCGGGGCGTGCTGGCACCAAGCGTTACAGGCCACGCCTGGGCTTGAGCCCTCGGAGTCCCCTGCATTCCCTTCGCACAGTCACTGCTCACGACTCTCCGAGTTGCTCAGAAGAGCATCCCGGAAGTCCCGAGAGAACCTGAAGCTCGAGAACCAAGTGGCCCTGGGGTGGAGCTCTGTGGGGTTTTATTCTAGGATGGGGGGAGTTACTGGGGTTTGAACCAAGGCCTGCACACTAAACCACATGCCCAGCCCTTCTTTCCTTTCTTCTCTCCTTCCTTTCATTTTGAAACAGGGTCTTACCAATCACACAGGCAGAACTCCAACTTGCAGTCCTCCTGCCTCAGCCTCCCCAGTGCTGGGATTGCAAGCACAGAGGTCTGAAGGTGCGGGGGTGAGCAGAGGCAGGGAGGGCCTGGGAGAAGCTGGAGTTCTTGTGGTGGGGAGGACAGTATGAGACCGCCACAGTGTGGGGACAGCCACGGTCAACTTTGAGCCACCCAATCAGCAGCCAGCACACAGGTATCGAGTCACTGAATCCAACAGAATGTTCCCAGATCATGCCTATGTGACCCTCCTGCATAGACAGAGAGGCCAGGAGCTTCCTCCTTACAAGGTTCACACTCAGAGTGATCTGTGATAGTCAACCCTTGGAACCATGCCAGGTGTAATCTTAGCATTTGGGAGGCTGAGGCAGGAGGATCACTGCACGTCTAAGGCCAGTCTACTATATAGTGAGACCCTGGGTCAGAAAGAAAGAAAGAAAAAGAAAGAAAGAAAGAAAGAAAGAAAGAAAGAAAGAAAGAAAGAAAGAAAGAAAGAAAGAAAGAAAGAGAAAGAAAGAAAGAGAAAGAAAGAAAGAGAGAGAGAGAGAGAAAAGAGAAGAAAGAAAAGAAAAAGCTACGATCTCACAAAACTGATCTCACAAAACTGGTGACACCTTAGATCAGTAAAGCTTGGCAGAAACCCCTGAAGCCTTGCTGAGAGCTGGGAGGGGAACATTTCATCCTGCCCAGGACGTCTGGTCCCAGAGAGGACCTGGGCGCCAAGGGCAGGCAGAAGGTTTCTTCTTTTACAAAAGATAAAATCATCTGGTCTCTCCAGGGTGCATGACGGACAGTGTGAGCCCCAGCAGCAAAGAATAAATCCAAAAATAACAGCGAGGAGCTCGTCAGCAAGGCTGCCCCTGGGCTATGTGGAAAAACACACCCCTGCCCGGGTAAATAAATAATAAAAGCGCTCGGAAACGATACCCCTGCAGCTCCTGTGGCAGCCCGCGCCCCGGGCTTGGGCTCAGGCAGTGTGGACAAGTTTACTAAGCCAGGCTGCAGACCCAGGCCACAGTGTTTATTGCATAACACTTCAGGGGTTTCGTTTTAGTTTTTGATGGTATTGATTAGGGAACAGAAGGCCTTTGCACTGGGTTACATCCCCAGGCTTTTGTTTATTGTTTATTTTTGAGCCAGGCTAAGCTGCCCAGATTGGGCTGAATTTGTGATCCTCCCGCGTCAGCCTCCTAGAGTGGCAGTGTTGCAGTGAGGCATTCGCTGCGTGCCCGGCTACATATTTCATGTTTTGTTTTTGTTTTTTTTGAGACAGGGTCTCACTATGCAGTTCAGGCTTGGCTTGAACTCATGATGTAGCCCAGGCTGGCCTTGAACTCACAGTGATCCTCCTGCTTCAGCTTCCTGAGTAGTGCTGGATCTCCTACTTTTAATCCCATATTTTAGTCCTAACTCCTAAAATGCAACACCATGGCCTGGGGAGCAGAACAAAATTAGAAATAAGGACACAGCCTTGGACACAAAGATAGGCCTAAGAAAAGCCAGTGCTAAACAGAGCTCTGCTATGATACATGCCTGCCATCTGAGTGCCCTGGGAGGCTGAGGCAGGAGGATCTCAAACTAGAGCTTCACCTGGGCAACTCAGTGGCTTAGTGAGACCCTCTCTCAAATAAAAAATAAAAAGGGACTGGACGTAGTCCAGAGCAAAGGCCCTGGGTTTGATCCCCAGGACTAGACAAAGCAGAAATACTGGGTAGCTGTGAATTCAGAACAGCTCATGATTCTCAAACCATTTCCTCACCTAACGGAGCAACCCCTGCACCAGCCTGGTCAGATTTGCCTGAGAAAATCTGAAGCAATCACCAGCCCAGGTAAGGGCTGCCGCAAGGGCACTGCCAGGCTCAGGCTTAGCCAGGCGTGCTGGGTTAGACATCTTGATGAGTACTGGTCTTCTCAGCTGGACCTGAGTCACACAGGGTCCCTGAGAGGCTGGACACTTCAGGGTTTTGCTGCAATTGTTGTTGTATTGTTATGAAGAGGGGTCTCCCTGTGTAGCCCAGGCTGGCCTTGAACTCACCAGATCCTTCTGCCTCAGCACACGCCACCACGCCCAGCCTTCAGCCTGGGATTTCACATTACCTGGAGGGATCACTACAGTCAGGGATGGTCCCTTTTACAGAGCAGAAAGCCAGGGGTTAACTGCCCGCAGAGACCTTGGCGGGCCAGTCCACTGGTCCAGCACTGCGCACAGAGTAAAGTGTTTCTAGCTGGGCGTGGCGGTGCAGCCTACAATCCCAGCACTCAGGAGGCTGAGGCAGGAGGATCGACATGAGTTTGAGACTAGCCCAGGCCACCTTAGTAAATTCAAGGCCAGCCTGGACTGCATAGCGAGTCCCTGTCTCAGAAACCAGAAGCAGAACACACTGAAAGCTACATGACAGCCATTGTCTCTGGGTGGCGGAACTGTGGGAGATCTGCATTGTCTTTTCATGCCATCTGTGACCTATAAATGCTTCCCAAGGATTAAGCATCAAATCTATAATAGTATTTTAAAGAAGAGATGTCATTTTAAGCCTCTAGATATTCTCATACACTGTTGGTTGAGTGCCTAGATAGGAGAGTGTGGGCACATGAGTAAGATTCTACACATGAACTCTGACTCAACATTTCCTCTGTGTGTGTGTACCTGCCCACACATGTGTATGTACAGTACTGGAGATTGAACCCAGATCCTTCGAACTGAGCTCCATCCCCACCCTTTTATTTATTTTTTAATTTTTTGGTACCAGGCATTGAACTCATGACTGCACGCTTGCAAGGCAGGCGCTTATGCCACTGACCTAAATCCCCAGCCCCCTACCCTTTTCTTTTTAATTTTTTTATTTTGACTTACCATCTTACTAAATCACTAAGTTGCCCAGGCTGGGGTGAAACTTGTGATCCTCCTGCCTCAGCCTCCCAAGATTACGGCACCGACCCCAGTCTCACCTGCTCTGCCTGCTGACACTGGGGTCAGGTTTACACAAGCCTCACCTCGGTGCAGGCAAAGCAAGAGCTCCATGTCCCCAACAGCAAATTCCTCCTCAGCCTCAGCGTGTGTAGTAAACAGAAAATGTTTTACCTTTCAGCAAAGGCGTCGAGTTTCCCTAGCTCATCAGAGAGACCAACAAGGGAGTCCAAGGTTCCCACCTGCAAAGGGCAGGAAGTTAGGGTTCCCGGTTAGGTCCTCAGGTGCCGTTCACTGCAGCCTGGGGCCCTCGAAGCATCTAGACCTGACCATACTGCGCTAGCAGCTGAATGGGACACACGATGGCAGCAGAGCCATCCAGGGGGGGGGCTTCGATGCTGAGCTCAGACCCAAGGTACAGCATCCAACGGGTGTGGTGGTGTACCCTCAACCTCCCAGCTCTCTGAAGGCTGAGGCAGGAGGGTCACTGAAAGTATTCATGGTCACCTGGGCTACATAGTGAGACCCTGTCTCAAAACACACATGTGTGCACAGGTGCACCTTTCTTCTCTGAAACAATCCAACCTTCCTGTTTTTTTTGAAGAGTCTCACTGTGTGACCCAGGCTGGCCTCAAACTCACAGTGGTCCTCCTGCCTCAGCCTCTCATCCCAGTGCTGGGATAAGAAGTGTGTGCCACCATGCCCCGCTTCCTTTGCTGATATTGACATTAAACTGGCCGAGGGAGGGTGGTTTATGGCCCATCCCATGGGATTGATTCCTTATAAAGTTCCTTAGTGCGGAAAGATTGCCTCGTCCAAACTGCACTGAAGGTCTGTTCCCAGGCAGACTAAGAATCGCAGCAGGAGGGGCAGGAGGTCCTCAGCGACAGTGTGTGACCTGCATGTGGGGGCAGCGCCACCCCACTCTCCAAAGTGGCTCCACCATGGCAAAGCCTAGACACTGCTACTCAGAAAAGCTGTTTGCTGCCTTTCAGGCAAGGGGATTTTAAGCTTTTGTTTTCGTTATTGGTCATTGAATCCAGGATCTCTGCACTGAGCTACAGTAAGGTGCTTGGGCTGGACTCAAACTTGTGATCCTCCTGCCTCAGACTCCCAGGGTGCTGGGATGACAGGCATGCACCACCACTGTGCCTAGCAATCACAAACAACTTTGGGTAAGGCTGTGTCACAGCCCTGGGAACCAAGTCCATAAATGCCAGAGTTACACAGGACTCAGGACTTGAAGTTCCAACAAAACCATCCATCAACTTTGCTAGCCACCTGTCATCTCAGCACTTGAGAGGCTGAGGCAGAAGAATCGCCATGAATTCGAGGCCAATTGGAGCTACGTGGTGAGTGCAAGGCCAGCCTGGACCACATAGGGAGACCCTGTCTCAAACAAATAACCTCAGCCTTGCCTGGTCCCTCCCTCTCTCCTCCCTCCTCCTCCCTCTCTCCTCCCTCCTCCTCCTTCTCTCCTTGGCTTGAGAGACCACTCTGTGCTTGCCCTGCCCCAGGCCCTGCCCTCCTTCGTCCTCCGGAGTTTACCTTGAAGTCCGGAATGGTGAACTTGGAGTTGCGGGACAGGTTGGCTTTGGAGGTGACCGTGTTCATCCGCTCCAGCGCCTGTAGGTTTTCCTTATCTCCAGGGGCCGAAATTAACCAGAACTCAGACATGGCTCCTCTGTCCTCCTGCCTAGGTCCTGGGGGGACCCAGACATGCACAAGGGACCAGGAAAGAAACGCAATCAGACGTCTGAGCTCCCAGCCCTCAGTCTCTCAGTGAGTCCCCTTCAACCCAGAGTGCAGGCGCAAGCCTGTACACCTGGAGGCTGAGACAGGAGGGTTGAGGGTTGGAGCCCATCCTGGGCAGCTTAGTGAGATCTGACTCAAAATAAATCTTTAAAAATAAAGTTGTGGGGGAGAGGGAGAGGGAGAAAAGGATGTTCATTCCAGCAAAGCAACTGTGCTTGCCAGGGCCCTCGGGGGTCACACCACCTCTCCGACCCTCGCCTCTGAGAGGTCCTTGGTTCTCCAGCAGGGTAAAATGGGGGAAGAGGAGGCTGCCCTTGGCCACCTCTGGGGAGGCGGGGAAGGGTGGAAGGAGGCAGGCTGAGGAGGGAGGTGGGGGTGAGACTGATTGGCTGACTGATGTTCTGGGACAGGGTCTCACAGTGTGTGCAGTTCAGGCTGGCCTCCAGCTCACTGAAGTGGCCCAGGATGCCCTCAGACTCCAGGTGATTCTCCTGCCTCGGTCTCCCCGGTGCTGGCATGACAGGTGTGCACCACCATTGCAGATGGAGGTCAGTTCTAATGGACTCCAGGGGGACTTTTCTTGCCCAGACTGGAGGTGAACCCAAGGCCTTTGCACTGAACTGCAACCCCAGCCCTTTTTACATAAGTTGTTTGAGACAGGGTCTCACTGAGTCACTCACTGAGTTGCCCAAGTTGAGCTCCAACTTTTGATCTTTCTGTTTCAGCCTCCCAAGTGACCAGGTGACAGGCAGGTGCCACTGCTGGCAGGCAGGCCCCTCCAGAAGGAAAAACCAGAAGGAAAAGAGGGCCCTGAAGCCTGCTCACCTCACACCTCCCGCGTTCCCCGCCGCGCAGCCCGCCCATCTCGCTCCCCGCTCCCCGGGGACAGGTGGCCCTACCGGTGCGCGCGGAGAACGCAGTGAATGTGCAGACCAGGCCCGCGCCCCGCGCCTTTTGTACCCGGCGGAGGCGGGGCGATGGGGGGCGGCGCGGAGAATCGCCCCACTGACAGAGCCCCGGCTCGCTCCCCAGCGTCACCAAAGAGTGAACTGAAGTGACAGTGGCACGGTTTCAGATGCACCAGTGACGCTGCATTAGAGTTTTTAGGGTTGGAGCACCAGTACCAAAATAAATAGACAGATTTTGTTGTTGGTGGTGGTCTTTTTCTTTTTTATCGGTACCGGGGATCGAACTCAAGACCACACACTTGCCGCTGAGCTAAATCCCCAGCTCCAAGACAGGTTTTTCTAAAATCGTGGTGTTGGTTGAACCGCGCCATCAATGCCTGTCCTGCTAACATCACCAGGGAACTCCCAAGTTGAACTGTAAATTCAAACTAAAACAAAATATTCCACCAAGGCCGGGCTGGATGGTGCACGCCAGTCATCCCAGCAACCCGGAGGCTGAGGCAGGAGGATTCGAAGACGGAGCCCAGCTCCAGGAACACAGTGACTTATCGAGACCGGGTCTCGAAACAAAACCTTCGGGTGCGAGGCCGCAGGTCTGTTCCCCAGCGCGGTCAGCGGCGGACCTGCCCGCGGCTCCTCCCCAAGCTGAGCAGCGAGGGTGGCGGCGCCCTTCCCGGCAGGGTTTTGGGGTTCTGGGGAGATGACGCTGGCGGGGGGAGCAGAGGGAGGGGCTCAGCGGCCGGGGGAAGGAGGGGCGGGGGCGACCGCAGCACCTCGGGGCTCCCTGGAGGCAGCGCGGGGAGGGGCGGGGCCGCGGCTGGCTCGCGGAGGACCCCGCCCTGGACGCCGGGGACTGACCTGTGTCCGTGCCTGGGGCGCCCGGCGCAGCTGGGAGCCCTGGTCGGGACCCCGCGGAGCTCGCGTGGTCGCCGGCGGCGGCTGAGCGCAGGGACTCCCCGGCACTCGCGCGCGCTTGCTATGGAGCCAGGGGCGCCTTAGTCAGCCCTTGCGACACCTGAAACCGGACGGGAAACCGGCCTGCGGGAGGCGGGGGCCGGGCCGGGCCGGGTCGGGCCGGGCCGGGGCGGCGGGGCCCCGGACGCGAACGGCACCGCTGGGCCGGGGCAGTGCGGACCCGAGTCGCGCGGGGCCCTCTCCCCCCACCCAGCCTCCCGTGCAGAGATCTGCGCTTTGCTTCCCATCAAAGGGCACAGCTACTCCTTGGAGACTGGAGACACATTTTTTCTATTTTTGTCTTTTATTTGCTTTTTGAGACAGGACCTCGCTGTGCACTCCAGGCTGACCTCGAGCTTGTGGCGATTCTCCTGCCTCAGCCTCCTGTTGCTGGAATGACAGGCACGCGCCACCTTTAGAAGAATCGTGCGCTTTTGCTTATGGCATCTTTCTTCCTGTAAACCTGGTTCCCTCTTGCCAGCTTTGTGCAATATGAGTTGGAGACGGCAGCTGCGTGGCCATGAAGTTGTCCACTGCGTGCGAGTTTCTGGGTTCCGTTCCCACAACGGCACCGCCAGAGAGTCAGATATGTTAAATCCTGCGCACCCTAACATCAAGGCAGCAGCACCTCTCGCCTTCCAAATGTTCCCGCTCAAAATATTTTCCATCTTCAGTTCACTGCTTAATACTTTTTTGATTTGGCTTTTGTTGTTTTTTCGAAATCCACTTTATTTCAAAGAGAAAAAACAAAATTTCAGAACACAACAATCAGGGGCCGACAATGCATACATCGCGCCTTGCCACCCCCGTCTTTTTGTTTTTTTGAGACAAGGTCTTGCTATAGAGTTCAGGCTGGCCTTGAACTTGTTTTGTAGCCCAGGCTGGCCTTGAACTCATGGCAATCCTCCTGCCTCAGCTTTCCTGACTGCTGGGACAGGTGTGCACCAGTATGCCCACCTGGTTATTTTAATGTATAGTGATGGTTACTCTTGCAGGAGTCACTTGAGTTTTCCCACTTTTTGCCTCCTTCTAAAGGAAATTATGTGTTTGTTTCAAAGTTTTGGAGCCATAATATGGTGGCGCATGCCTGTCATCCCAGCACTCAGGAGGCTGAGGCAGGAGGGTCGCACCAAATTCAAGGCCAGCCTGGGCTACACAGTGAGACTCTGCCTCCAAAAGTCAAACAACACAAACAAACAAAAAAGACTTTGGAAAACAGAAAGCATAAGGAAAAATGTAAAAATACCCATTACTCTGTGATCTGTGTATAACCACTGTTGACATTCAAGTTCTCTGTTCATTTTAATGCATATTTGTAGACAGAGATACAGGCTTTTTTGCATAATTGAGATGATATACATCAATTTGGCATCATGCTATCAATTGCTTTTTAAGAATTAAAAATTATCAAATGTATCTCATTGATGAAGCATAACCCAGCTTTGCCAGCAACTTATCACACAGCAGCCAAGAACATGAATCACCCGCATCGGGAGCCTTCGGGCAGGTGATGGTGGGGACATCTGCTGGGTGGATTTTTCACACATGTATTTATCACACACAGGCAGACTTCAGGTTTTCCCTCAAGTTCTCTTTTAAGTGAGACCAGACTTCCCTACAAAGAAATAAAGAAAATTGGCAGAGTGTGGTGGTGCACATCTGTCATCCCAGCACTCTGGAGGCTGAGGCAGGAGGACCACCATAAATTCAAGGCCAGCCAAGGCAAATACTCCCTAAATTATAAAAATGAAGAACCCAGGGCACAGTGGCTGTCAGTGCTTCCTGGTCATCAGGACTGGGGGCTGCCGAATGCCAGGTGCTGGTCACCTGTTGAGGGTGGCCGAGGTGAGGGTGGCTGAGGTGGTTGGAAGTGGAGTTGTGTCGAGCTGCTGCGCAGGACGCAGCAGTCCCCAGGGCCGGGAAACCGGAAGGACCAGGCCTGTCATCACCAGCCACTCCCGGGCAGAATACTTCAGGCTCCTGTTTCCACACACAAACAGCCAAGCAGGTGCCCTCTCCCGGGATGGGGTTGGAGGTGGGTGGACACCTGTGCAGGCTGCTGGGTGTGGGACAGGGACCCCGGGACAGACCCAGAAGTGTCCCTGGGACTGTCACGTGGGGCTGACCGGGGAGGGTTGGAGAGGCAGGGCAGGTGCAGCTCAGAGGATCCGATAAGCTGCTTATCCTGAGCCTCAGGTTTCCCCTCTGAGAGGAACGCATCCTGCCTGCTCTGTAGCCTGCTGGGAAAAGGCAGAGAGTATTTCTAGCAAGAGCTGAAGTTCCCACTTCTCCTGTCCTACATGTTTTATCTAGTTTTTGAGATGATCTCGCTGTGTAGCCCAGGCTGGCCTCGAACTCATGGCAATCCTCTTGCCTCAGCTTCCTGAGTGCTGGGGTCACAGATATGCTCTACCATGCTTGAGTCTTCTATATGTCTTAAATCAGTGGCTCCAAATCTTTTTGGTGCCTGGGAGCAGTTTTGTGGGAGATGATTTTTCAGCAGACGGGGGAAGGGGAGACCGTTTGGGGTTGATTTGTGCACATTACCTGTACATGTGCTTTATTCCTGAATCTTGTGGTGTCTAATGAAATTACAGTACAAATCGCCACAGTGCATAAGCAGCAAGAGACCTGAAGCCAGATGGCCCCATCTGGGGGTGACAAGAGACACCAAAGAGGCCCCTTAATCATCACTTGCCCCTGGGCAAGGTTTGGCAGAAGCTCCAAGCTGGGGCTTTATTACAGCCAGAACTCCCCACAGAGGCTGATGGTATTTCCAGCCACTGCCCAGCACTATGTTACTGTCTCAGCCCCATTCTGCTCCAGGGGCAGCCTTGTGCTGGCTTCTGTGGGCCATGGCTGGGCTGGGGCTGGTAAGCCTGCCTGAGGGGTTAGCAGGGAAGCCTGGAAAAGCATCTTGTATTTCAAAAGCTGTTTTCACTTCCAGCCAAACACTCTGAAGTGCTAGATGACCCATCACTGTACTCTGTGGCTTGCTTCTTGGAGAAAACAGGCCAGGGAATTACCAGGATTTGTATGGCCAGGTCTGTAGTGGTTCATGCCTGTGATCCCAGAACTCTGGAGGCTGAGGCAGGAGAATCACAAGTTTAAGTCCAGCTTGATCTGCATAGCTAGACCCCTGTCTCAAAAACCAACCACACAACCAACCAAAGAAAGTGTAGCCATTCTAGTGGATATGCAGTTGTATCTGATTCTAGTTTTTATGTGTGCTTCTCAAAAAAAATAACCAGGGATGTTGAGCTGGGGATTTAGCTCAGCGGTACAGTGCCTGGCATTTGACCCTCGGTACCAAAATAAATAAAAAAACAGACTAATGGTGTTGAGCATACTTTGGTGAGTTTTGTTTTCTTTTGAGGCGGTTGGTTTTGGGGTTTTTTTTTTTTTTTTTTTGCCTTTTTCCTTTTGTGAGTCTGACAGTTAAGCCCAGGGCACCCTGGTTCTCCTGCTGAGCTCTGTCTCTGACCTTACATTTTACCCTGAGACACCAAGAGTAGCTAAAGTGCCCCAGCTAGCCTTGAATTTGCAATGCTCCTGTCTCATCCTGCCAGGCTTTCTGTGAGCTCCCTGGCCATCTGCACCTCTTCTTTGGAGGTACACATGTCTGTCCACATCCCTTACTGATTTGTAGAGGAGTTAGCATTCTTTTTCCCTTTGTTCATTTTTGGTGACATGGAGAGACTCTCACAAAATTCAAAAACCAAGAAAAAGAAAGGGCTGGGGACCCTGCTCAGGGCAAATGCCCCGAATTCAATTCCCACTACCTGAAAAAAAGAAAAGAAAGAAATGACCAAATAGCATGATTCCCTGCCATGGAAACCACTCTTCATCCTTTTTATTTATCACTATCATTAATTATTTTCCTTTAATTAATTAATTACAGTTATATATGTATTTATTTTTCTGCAGCACTGAGGATTGAACCTTTGCACTGAGCTCCATCCCCAACCCTTTCCTACTCTTTATTTTGACACTAGGTTGCTAAGTTGATCAGCCTGGGCTCAAAGTAGGGCCCCTCCTGTCTCAGCCTCCCAAGCACTGGGGTTCCCAGGCATGCACTGCCACCCTGCTTTGGCATCTGTCTCGATCCCAGCACCGAGGCCCAAGCTTCTGGTGAGTGAGCCCCCAAGGGCATGGCTGGAGCACCTGGGCATGGTCCCCTGGGTCCCCAGCCCAGCCTCTGTTCCTCCCCACACCCACAGCCCACGGCCAACTCAGAGGACGGCCCACCCTGCTTCTGAATCATGCCTGTGTCCCTAGCCCTTGCCTGGCACCACCCTGAGAGGACACTTGGGAAAGGCCTGCACTGTGGGCTGGCCCAGCTGGCCGTGGGAGGAGGGCTGGGCAGAGGCCAAGAACACGGATCAGGATGTGGCTGGGCCTGTCTCCCAGGTCCTTCACTCCCTCAAGCCTCTGCCACCTGGGGAGAGGCCACACCTCCCCTGAGGGAGGCTCAGCGCTGCTGGGTGGAGCTCCCAGTCCTTATTTCCTTAGACACTCCCCCGCTGGGTGGGCTTGGCCACATGGTCCTGCAAGCAGGCTACTTGAGAGGCTGAGGAAGAAGGTTCTCGAGTTCAAGTCCATGACTGAGGAAGACTGTGTGGCTAACTAGAAAGTAAAGCCGTGCGTGGTGGCGTACACCTATCATCCGAGGCTGAGGCAGGAGGATCTCCAACTCAAGCCCACCTTGGGCGACTTAACCAGACCATGCCTCAAAATGAAATATAAAAATTGGGGAATGTAGCTCAGTCAAAGACCCTAGGTTCATTCCCTGATGCCACAAAGAGAAAAATATACAAACACAAACTAAAAAGGCCTTGTAGTGTAGCTCAGTGCTCAAGTGCTAGTTTAGCACACAGGATATTAGTAAAAAAATTTTCCAAGGTCTTTCTCTGAGCTGCTGGAATCACCAGGAGCCTCTGTGCTAATTCGAGGGAGCTTCTTTGATAGGGGTGATGACATATGACATATGACAAGCTGATGTCATTTCTCTTTTTCAGCATCAGTTCTCAAGTGCATCC